TATAGCACCAATGAAACATACAATTTTCCTCTAGTTCTTTAATGCTTCCTCTCCCCAAACCCCGACTATCATGACCCCCGTTCTACCTTACAAATCCAGCTAGACCAGAGGATGTACAGATAAGAGCTGCAAACACAGGGAATCCAGGACAGATAAACCTCTCAGGACCAATAATTAGAGATACCAGGAGGGTAAGGGGAGAGAGAAAAGGGGAACCAAGCACATTTAAAAACTAAATCCATTGCCACCCCGTCAGTTTCGGCCCATGGTGACCCACCCGTGTGTTAGATAGAGCAGAACTGCCCACAGGGTTTTCCCGGGGGCTCTCAGCTTGATGGAGAGGGACCCCCAGGTCTCTCTTCCACAGGACCCTGGTTGGGTTCGAAATGCCGGACCTGTCGGTTAGCGGTGAAGTACACACTGTGCCACACACCTTGAAAGCTATATGACTGCACAGGTGTCTTTGCAACACTGACCACATCCAACGACCTCTGCAAACCGACAGAGGAAGCCTTGACCCTTCCAGAGGGTGCATCGAGACCCAGCACTGCCGTGACAACTTAAGGCCAGTGCGCTGGGGATCAGCGTGTGCTCCTGGATAGGAGCGGCCCTGACATTGACCTGGAAGCATGTTCGGAGAAAGTGCTGTCAAGAGGTTATGTGTTGACGGGGTAGAAATTATGTATGTGTTAACTCCCAATTAAAAAAAAGATTTTTCTAAGTACTATGTGTTGACAGAGCAGAAGTTGGAAACCATTGTGGGAATACATATGAAAGGACCAGGGACTAGAGCAAGATTTCGGAAATGAAATAAATTAATTTTTAGTTATTTCATATTTCAAGTATTTTCTATGTGCAATAGCTTCAAACGTTATGAAAAGCAAATACTATAGAAAAATACCCAAGGTACCTTCTCTGGGGCAAGATTACTTAGAGTAATTTCCAAATCGTACTACTCAATGTTGACATTTCTTCCTCCTTCCCTCCCCTGCTATTTCAGGGTGGGTTCTGGAGCCTATGAGCAAGTTGTGATCAAACGCTAAGTCAAGCTGGCGGATCAGCTGCTGCCCTGAGACTGGAGGCGTGGGCAGTGGAGCTCTCCAGCCGCTTTGGGCAAGCACGGAGGTGAAAGGGAACCTTTTCAGAAATGACGTGGTCTGCTCACCTAGCAAAGGAAAGCCACAGCGGAACTCGTCTCCAAACGTGCCCCCGCTAAATCCTTGCGACCCACCCAAAGAGGAACCCTGAGAGGCAGAATGGAGGTGACGTGCCCTGGGCATGCCTTAAAGTCCCCTGCTCCTGTGGGCACTGCATGTGATGGCAAAGAGCCTGCTTTATCTTGCAGATCATCATGGCGGGGAAAATGCCCTCTGTGTCTGAGTATAGTTTTAGGATTGAGTTTGTGGTAGAGGTGCTCAACGAATTTGGGCCCTAGTTACCTGTTTTGTTTTGTTTTTTAATTTTTATGATTGTGAATCAGTAAGTGAGTAACATTTCAACCCTGTAAACTCTGTCAAATGGCTATCATTCCTGTTGAGGAGACTTTCCTAAACTCCCTGCAGTTTCATCCTAAACGTATTAACTTTTCCTGGTGCAGTAATTGATATAAATTGATATGTGGTTGTTAATGCTTTGGGGAAATGGTATACTACAATTTAAACATGTAAAGTGCTTATTAACAATTCTACATATTATCAGTCATAACATGTATCTAGGATTTGTGAATGGGTTTCATGCCATTTTCATGCAGCGTGTATTGTTACATATAGTCAATATTAGATAAGCTGCAGGGCCCCCACTCCTATGGTATCAGCAATTCAGAATAAGCTTGATATAATCAATACATAATGCACCTCAGCATAAGAGTTGGACACCTCATTCAATAACCACTTCTGCTGATTTCAGGAAGAAAATTATCTTCAGAGCTGCCTCTCATTTGTGCATTCAGAGTTAGCTGAAACCAGAAGGTATTGGAGAGGCAGTGTATAGAAGATGGGGGGAGACTGCTTGACATCACCCCGCGGCTTGGGGTGGTCTGTTGTAGCCTCCCATGATTAGACAATAGTGTGTTTTCTTTATCAGAAGTTAAGTTGTGTTTGGGGCAAGAATAGAAAATAACACATATCAAACATAGTTTTAAAAATAAAAATATCTAGCCTAGATCTAGTTTGACAGTACATCAGACAAACCTTAGTGTTTTTCTGTTCTCACATGATATAAAAAACATGGAAGATTTCAACTCTCCTGGAATCACCAAGTCTTCTAAGGAAAAAAATAGAGAGTCTGGATAACTAGTAATCCCTAGTCTTTACACCCAAAACCCTGTTGAAGATATGTAATGTGTTAAATTAAAATTTCTTTGTGGTCTGCACATTTTCATATTGGTAAGATAAGGGAGAAATTATTTTTAAGAAAGCATTGTTTTAAAATCCAGATTTAGAGGCCTGAAAATATTTGAGTTGTTAGGGTTTTTTGGTTTGAATGTCTCATGGGATTGAGTATTCCACATTCACCCAATACCGTTGTTACAAATAGACTGAGTCTTTCAAAGGTGACACACATTGTAAAATACTTTGAATGTTGACAGGGCTTTGAGTCACTATAGTTTTTTCTTAGTAAAATTTGTTTTGAATGGGGATAAAAAAAAATCACTGAGCTGAAGTTTAACCCAGAAAAATGTTCCTATTAGAGAAAAGTCAGAGAAAGTTTATAATAGTGGTTAGAAAACATTGCTTAGAAAGAGATTTATGATGACATTTTTTAAAACCTATTTTTCTATTTTCCAAATATTTATGGTATATTTTTATTGGCACTTCTGCAAATGATTTTGCCGTTTGAAAATGATAATTAGATTATAAGTGAGGTTCTTGAAGCCAAATACATAAAGGTCACTGTAATTGGAGCAGGGCCCCCCTCTTACTCTTCATTGGCTGCTCTTAACCCAGCTCCGTCATACAAGACGGACTCAGTGCAGGTATGTGCCACTTAACATTCACAATACTTTCTGTGAAATAATGTTACATACAAGCAGTCCCTGTAAAATCCATAGTTAAGTTCCCTGAAAGCATATAAATATGAAGGGGCTTCAAAACTTGAAAGATCATGGACTTTTTCCACAGACTTTTTGAAACCACTGGTATTAAAACGTAATGGGGTGCCCACCACGCACAGCCCCAGGGCTGTACCCACTGGATAGAGGCTGGCTTTGCCAGATTGGGGGCAGGACTGGACTGGGGCTCTGCCTATAGCCAGACAGGGACTTTGTGCATGTCTGGACACCACTTAGGGGTGGAGAAGTGAGCGGAGGGACGAGGCATATAGGTGTCAGGAACATAGCTGCAGTTGGAGGGCCGGCCCCTTGCCCCCTTGTTACTGACTCCTTCCTAATCTTGTATGGCGGCCGGTGCCACACACAGCCCCCACGGGTGGAGGATCCATGGCAGCAGTCACTACCCGGCCCTGGGACTGAGGCCGCACAGCTTCTTGCTGGCTCCGTGAAGCCGGGAGGGGTTGGATGCACTCTGAGGCCCCACTGCTTCTTCTCTGAGGGTGGGGAGGTGGGAGGTCATCTGCAAAACCATTGGAAGGAAATAATAGAAAGAAAGTTGCTTTCCCTTTAAAGCAAATACCTTATGGGACCATGGATGTATATCCTGAACAGACATTAAGCAGTACATACCTGTATTTAGAATGAGATATAACTATATTATAAAAACAAAAATTAGAGACATTTTGAAAGGCTTGAAAATCATACTTTAAAAATAAAATAAATCATACTTTTACAAATCACTTTAACAGCCATTAGATACCATCTTGATCCATGTAGTAGTAAATATGGAGGCAACCACTATTTTAATTGAATCATTTATTTGGAAGTCAGTGGATTAATTTTCTTCTATGTGGTAGCCATCATCAGATCTTATTATGGAAATATTTGTGATAAAGATTGCCTCCATAGCTGCCCAACTGATTGGATTTGAAAACATACATCTTCCTTGGTTTTTAGATATTAAAGTCAAATTGTAAATCACTCAGACTTGGAAAACCTCCAGATGTGCAATGCTTTCTTTTCCCGATAATATCGCAGAGGGAGAAACGAATGGCGTTTTAAAGCTCTGCCTGTGTGATCTGATGGGGAAGAGTCTGGGAAATGCAGCGCCCGATCAGGAGAGCCACTTCCTGGGAGGTGAGCTGGTGACCGAGTGCGGAGGGACCTGAAGGGCAGCAGAGGCAGAGAGAGCCCTGGGCCATCCGCTGGCCCGGGGACAGCTGCCTCCCCTGATAGTGTGTCTGGTGGTGCCCGTACACACACAACTAAAACGCATCATTATTTGTCATCCAAAAAGGTCTTAAAGGATCACGCAGTCCAAGCAAACTACCATTAGGAATCTATCCGAACACGGTTCTTTGGGAATGTCTTTTTTTTTTTTTTTTTGCACAAACACTGAGCCACTTGGCACATCAGTTGCTAGAAGGAAAAGGTAAAGTTTCCAACGGGCCTTCAGTCTAAATGTTCACATTCTGACAGTGATGAATCCGTTTCAAAAACCAGAGGTAATTTTAGACTTTCCGAGTCCCGTGCCTTGACCGCTGTGCAAGCTCATGCTGACAGGAGCGTTCCATGTTGGTTGCAGTGCTATGACGTGTTCGGCTTCCAGTAGTAGGAGAGCCCGCATGGGCTCCTGTGACAGGCACACATTTTCTGTACTGGTCTTCTGTTTGGGCAATTCAGAAATTATGCTTGCTCATAGACCAAACTCTTAGATGGTACGGCATGCAAATATAATCACATACTATAGTTGAAATTGTTTTGCCACTACTCCATGTTAGCCTAGGTACTGTACATACTAATTATAATAGCTGAGATGTTGTCAAACACGAAGGCTAAAATATGAATAGTAGATTAAATATGCCTATATAAAGCTTTTTAAAGGCTGCTCTGGAAAGAGGGCAGCATGCCTAATATCCTTGTAGTGGTGTCTTTTCATCATAAGGTAATATATGCACAGTATATTTTAAATGGTCATGTGGGTGGTCTTTGTAGCCACACTCCTCATATTGCAAAGCTGGTAACATTCTATATGTAATTCAGCAAGATATTCTGCCTTGACAAACGTTTTATGTTTACCATAGTATGTAACAAAGGAAATTCTCTGCCAATATTCACTGACCAAATCCACCCAACAAAAGATATTTGATTGTTATCTGGGGGATCAGCTTCCTTTTATGTGTTTGTTTGGTCCTCTGGAAACTGTGGGTAATCATGCAAATGTTTATGAAATTTTTTTATTGAAGTGACTCCCATTAGGATCTTGACCTAATACTTGGAGAATGAACTTCATATGTATTTGTATAGTTCTTTGTTTTGACTGTAAGATGGTAAATCCATAAATTGTTGTTTTATATGAAAACTAATTTTTAATGTAAAGTGTTTGTAATAATGTAAAAGTGACTCTTATACATGTTCAATAAAAATCATATGTAGACATTCGATGTTGTTTATATTTTCAACTATAATATTCTGTCAGAAATTAATCCAGGGTGGGAAATAAGAAGTGGAAAGGCCAGTATATGAAAGGGTACCCCCCCCAAAAGTGGACACACATTTTCATGGTACACATTTTTCCCACTAGGCGAGCATCAAGCAACTCGTTCTGAGTTAGTGCACACAGTGGCATCTCCTGGGAAGATTCTCTCTGGTCACAGTGAATTTTCATAAAAGCTGTTTTTCTCAAACCTCCTTTTTTGGTGAGGGCCGATTTAAGAGAACAGCGTGTGGCTGGGCAATTTTGTTTCCTGCTCAGGAAAATGCCGCAGAAGCTGTTGTGATGTTGAGCACAGCTTACAAGGACAGTGCTATGGGAAAAAGTCAAGGGTACAAGTGGTTTTCTCATTTCAGAAGGGGTGAAATATCAATTGATGACAAAGCGTGTTCTGGATGCCTGTCAACTTCACAAACAGATGGAAGTGTCGACTTGTGTGCTTTTGCAGTTTGTTCCACCAGATCAAATTAAGCTTTCTATTTAGAGGTTCTGAAAATATAGTGTAACCGTGTGTGACAAAAAAGACCTTGTTTGTGGCAGACGGGACTGGTTTTGCCACCACAACAATGCACCTGCTCATGCAGCCATCTCAGGGCACCAGTTTATGGCAAAAAACAGCATGCCTCTGGCCCCACAGACCTTATTCACCTGACCTTGCCCGTGTGACTTCTTCAATTTGACAACAAAGGAGAGGTGAAGGAAACAATGAGGTGCTGTCAGCCATCCAAACATGAGTTTGAAAAATGTTTCCAAGAATGGAATCACAGATTTGACAAGTGTACTAAGTGCAATGGAGAGTACTTTGAAAGTGATAGATAAGGTTAAAAAAAATTAAATACATAGCTTTGGGGGGTGGGTTTTCGGCTTGGGGGGTTACGCCTTCATAACCCTCTTCCCTTCAGTTTGTCCTATTGCCATGTAGGAGAGCACAAACTTGCATGCCTCCAAGCATCTCTGAGTCCTGAGACCCAAGGCATGGCCGTGGCGGGAGGCATGCCAGAGTCTGAATCAGACTCCCATCCAAACCTGCTTCCACCCCCAACACTGGAGATATGAAAAAGAAAGTTTCAGCCAGTGCTGAATATGCCACCTGGTACACACTCAATGCTTCACCAGCCAAAATTTACCTTTGTGTAGCATCCACTTGCACATCCTAATTATAGGGTCGGTCGCATAGAAATGGCCAACGTGCCAGTGTTCGAGTTTAAGATCACCACCTAAATGACCCTGGTTGTCACCACACTCTTGTTCGGGCAGTTCTTCCCTTTGACTAGGATGCCCTCACGGGTGAGAAAACAATCCCCAGACTTTCCTCCGCTGATGTTCCCCTTGGAATAGCCGTTGAAGAACTGTGGTGAAGAGTGAGTGTGAGCCCAGGTCTTTCTCTGCAGATGTTCCAGGCTTCCCTGGACACTGACGAGCCGAAAAAGATGATGTGACAAAGGAGAAAGCGCCTGTTTGCTGGTAGGAAGTGGCACTGGACAGAGACCCTCCAAGCTCCTCCCCAATACACAGGGCCACGCAAGGGAACTGGGTACCAAATCCCAATAGAAACTGGCTGAACTGGCTCATCTATTCCCTCAGTCCTCCTTGCCCACATCTCAGGCCTGGAGTAAACAGGCTCAGCCTTCCTGATCTGGTCTTAAGCTACCTCTGTCCTTAACACTTAGCACTGTTTTGGTTCTATCTTCCCATCTCTGTATCTCCACCTCTGGGGTGGGGGGTGGTGTGTGGGGGGGTGTGTGTAAGGTAGCCCATGTACGAAATGAAACCGTTCCTGTTTGCATGATAGGAAGTCACTGAAATCAATCCTTCCTACATTATACAAAATGTAATTTTTAAAAAGAGGCTTAAATTCAGGCACTCCTTGGGTCAGTTTGCTGTTCCATGTGATCCCACCTAATAAGGAAGTAGGTCAGACATTCCTGTATTAGTTTAGACCCCTCTCTATGCTAGGTTAAAATGTTTCCACAAACACCATGCTTGTAAGAGGTTGCCTTTAGCACTAGATCTTTAATACATTTTAATAACAATTTCCTAAGAATTTGTATGCATTTCAAAAGGAACCAAAGGGGCACTGTGGGTTAAGCATTGGGCTACTAACCACACAAGGACGTTAGTTCAAACCTACCAGCTTCTCAGAGGGAGACAGATGAGGCTATCTGCTCCCATTAAGATTTACAGTCTCAGAAATGCCATGTAGTGTAGCTATAGATCAGAATCAACTTGACGGCAAGTGAAGTTGGTTATTCATTGCTAAGAGTTTCAAACCTCTACAGAAAATTGGCATAACTTTTTTGCTTCCTGATTATATCAAAGAGGCCTCGAAGTAAAAGTGTTGTACAAGTATTTTAAGTAGGGAAGTGTGCCATCTTCTGCCTTTGAATTTCGTTGAATTCAAATCTACCTGTACAAAGTGTGTAAACCGAAGCCTAAGTCCACTGCCATGAGTCAATTCCAACTCATAGCATCCCTTCAGGCCAGCATAGAACTTTCCTACAGGATTCCCAAGATTGTAATTTTTTAGTGAGACAGACTGCCACATCTTTGCCCCAGAGTAGCTGGTGTAAGTAGAAATTAGGTGGAAATCTTACTTAGATCTCAAGGGCCAGGGAGATTCCAGCTAGTATCTGGTGGCACACGTTTCCCATTGAGTCTGGGAGGTGGGCTACAGGTGAGGTGAGGAGGAAACTCTGCCTCCCAGAGAGTCACCAAACTCACTGCCACCGAGTCGATTCCAACTCAGAGTCCACGGTGCCATTTAAGTCTTTGGGGAGAAGACATCCCACGTTCTGGAAGCTCCTGCGTTGCATTGACAAAACTAAATGGCCCATTCAAGTGGTCTCCAACTAAACCATGTACAACCTGCCCCCACAAAGACTTGCAAAGCTCCAACCTACGTGTACGTTGTTTTAAGGTGGGAAGAAATGGAAGAAACCTTTGAAAGTGCTGTCTCAGGGTAGTGGAAATGGAGGAGTTGGGAGATGATTTAGGGACCATGTACTTTCGGCTTTACATCCTTATGAATTGTGGAGTTTCTTGGCATGAACTTGGATTGGTATTAGTGGGTTTTGTTTTTGTTTTCTAGAATGCAGTCATTTAAAAGAGTAGAGTACATCCAGATGGTCACACATTTATAAATGGTTTCTCTTAATAAAAGCAAGTTGCAAAAAATAGAGGAAATACTATTTATGTTAAAAATTATATCAAGAATGGAAACTTTTATCCACTAGAACTCTAAAAAGATGTGCCAGGGCTACTCCTGCAGTGTAGTGAGCTCTTTAACGGGGCCCTGATGGCCACAGTGTCTCCAACTCCCAACAAGCAACCTGTCCCTGATGGGTCCCATAAGAAAAGGTGGGAGTAGACACCGATAGGATTTGACTGCAAATGCCTGTCAGGAGGATTCATTGTGATAGTAACCATACTGGGTATGAAATCAGCCATCTCTGAAGCAAAACGGAGATCTCAGGACCAGCAAGAGAGACGGGAATGGAGCACATCCTTTGGAGCCCAAGATTGCTGTGCAGGGAACCCCCTTGGTCCATGATACAGCAGTGACAGATGGGCAGTCGCAGCAACAGAACCAGGAGACTGCATGAACCAGAGTACTGGACGTCTCAGTCCACAGAGCAAGCAAGCTAAGCACTTGGGAGAAGGAGGTTGGCTTGTGGAGTGGGGTGTATCTGGGCGCTGGATTGAGGAAGCTGGTTGGGTTGCTGGCCCATAGAATTGGAGCTGAGTGCCTTTGGGTTGGGGCTTACACAGAGTGGCATGCCCTGTGGGCATTCATTGGCAGTTCGAAAAAAGTTTTGTAACACTGCAAAGATCTGGCCAAGAGGCTGTGGGCCAGAGGAGGCCTGCCTTTGGTCAAAGCAGAAAAGAGATTGTCCTGACTGAACATCTGTATCTTGAGCATTTGTAAACTGTTAACTTCTTTAATAAACCCTATAATCATGAACTTCTGGAGTTCTCTGTGGCCATCACGATGGATTTTTAACCCAGCCAAAAAGTGGAGTGTTGACACAGAGCAATAAAAGTAGAGTGCCATGGAAGGACTGGCTCACTACAAGCAAAGCAGTGAATTTGGGACAAAGGGGATTCCTAAGGTGAGTGTACACACACACACACACACGTGTATGGCTATACATTAACATGTATGGATATATTTGTATATGCAAATGTTTTATGGGATTCAAAACATTTGAGGAAAAATTGCATTATCTTTTTTAATTTTTAACTAAAAGATCATTTTCTTGGGGGCTCCTACAGCTCTTATAACAATCCATGCATCAATTGTAACAAGCATATTTGTACATGTTGCCATCACTTTTCTAAACGCTTACTTTCTATCTGAGCCCTTGGTATCAGCTTTTTTCCCTCCCTCCTTCCTTTACCCTCATGACCCCTTGATAAATTATAAATTAATTTTTTGTTTGTTTGTAGACCCAACTAAGAAAATTTAAATTTATTGGCTGGTCTAATTTTTTTTATCATTTTGGGGCTCATACAGCTCTTATCACAATCCATACATATGTCAATTGTGTAAAGCACACTTATACATTCGTTGTCCTCATCATTCTCAAAACTCTCGCTTTCTGTTTGGTCTCCTGGAGTCAGCTCATTTTTCTCCCCCACCTCCCTACTCCCCTCTCCCTCATGAACCCCTGGTAATTTATAAATTATTATTTTAACATGTCTTACACTGCCCGGTATCTCCCTTCACCCACTTTTCTGTTACCCATCCCCCAGGGAGGAGGTTAAATGTAGATCCTTGTAATCGGTTCCCACTTCTACCCCCACTTCCCTCTTCACTCCAGGTATCACCGCTCTCACCACTGATCTTGAGGGGTTCATCTGTCCTGGAGTCCCTGTTTCCAGTTCCCATCTGCACCGCTGTGCATCCTCTGGTCTAACCAGGTTTGCAAGGTAAAATTGGGATCATGAT